CGAGTCTTTACTAATTTAAATTTATTGTCGTTTAAGATTCGTTTAAAAGAAAAATGTTCGAACTCATATTCTTCAAGTAAGAAAGGAAAGCTTCTATCAATTGACATGAAGAAAAAAAAGTGTGAAAGAGAAGCAACAAAGTTTATGCCCTTCGCTTCCTGACCTCAAAGCAGTGCAGTTTTTTCCGATCAAATCAAGAATTTGAGGCTGCTTGTTTCGCTATAATACACTATATAAATCCATTGATTAGTAATACAAATGTGACAACTTGAGGCCCTTTGGACGGTGCTTTCTTGTTAACTAGTAGACTTACATAAATTTGAAAGAGACTCAATAAGGCGGAGTACTTATTAAAAAGTAGATTGAACACCACAAGAGCATATTGGTGAAGACGTTGCAACTTATGTGAGAAGTTCTACATGAACAAAATACGAATTAAAAAAACAAGTTAAGAAATAATTTAGCTAATAAAAAACATTAACTCTTTTGAAAATTAATAACATCTAAATCATAATATCATGTAAGAATGGAATTCTTTGAGCTTTGTGACCAATCGGTGTTAGTAGACTTTTTCTTATTTTCGAATTAGCTTGCTACAAACCCTAACATAAATATGAGTTTATTGACTTTATAAAGGCGATTCATTTTAATGACAAATTTCAACTTATAAAAGATACGTCTAAAAATGCCCTAAGACAAATAAGGTATAATTACTCTAATAAAACTAATTAGAAGAATACTTATCTAAAATCTAAATCAGACTTTATTAGACAAGTTACTTTTCAAGCAAATTGTACCTAGTTTGAGGAGATCAAACTTTTATAAGGATATGTCAGCAATTAAATAAATTTTTTTTTCAAGGTCTTATCAAGTCAATAGACAAATATAAAATGAGTCTTGAGCCAAAAAGGCAAAAAAAATTACCAAAAATTTCAAAAGGGTACATCAATTTTTTTTTTTAATCTAAAGGACAAAATTGCGGAGCGATTTCATTATGACAAAAATTCATGCCGTTATTGTTAGAAAACATAAAAATTGCTCCCCCAACTGCGATTTTGTCAAAAAAAAATTCTAACATCGCTGTACTTACAGCGTTTTTCTCAAAAAAAAATAAAAATAAATTGAAATAGCAGCGATTTTCTTTAAAAAGTTATAAAAGATTTAAGAAAAAATCGCTTGCAAGGCAGCGATTTCATTAAAAAAAATATTTGCACTTCAAATATATTGCTACTTTGAGGGAAGCAGTGATTTAAAAAAAAAAATCAGTAAAAGTTTTTTTAAAAAAGAAATCGCTGCCTGGCAAGCGATTATTAATAATAAAAAAAAAATTAACTTTTTAGCAGCTATTTAGAAAAACGCTGCTGGGGGCAGCGCTTTTTTTAAAAAAAAAGAAAATTTTTTTGGACGAAATCGCTGTTGGGGAAGCGATTTTTATGTTTTTTAATGGCGTTAACTTTGTCAAAAGAAAATTGCTCTGTCAGGAGCGATTTTGCCCTTTTGGTTAAAAAAAATTGATGTGCCCTTTTGAAATTTTTGACAATTTCTTTTCGCCCTTTTGGCTCTGAACTCAATATAAAATGGTGACTATAGCTATATCGAAAGTATAATGAAGATTTGACGATAGAAAAATTAGGATAAATCAATTTTCCATGATAGATATTATTAATATTACACTATGTCCTAAGCTTTCTCGTTTGGCTATAGATTTCGAAAGTAATATTTATTTGGTTATAAAATTTATTTAGTTTTTAAAAGATTTTGAAATCAAATTTTCCAAAATTTAATTCAGACCTCTTCTTGACCGAAAATATATACGTTGACCTATTTCAAATTTTTTTTAAAAACTTGTCCTTGAGCTTTTATGTTTTTATATATAAAAAAAAAAGAACTTTTGTAGTTACTATTGTTGTTGTTTTTTCCGCACTTAACAGATTTTTGTAATTAATTATAATTTGACAAATTGTAGTAGCTAATGGTTATGTTAATTATTAGTAGTTTAATTAAAATAATTATATAATAATTTTAGAATAATATATTATCTAGTTAATTTTAAAATATAATAATTTATGTCAAATTTATCTGTGTATATAATTTGATAACGAAATAAACGTCATCAATAGGTTATGCATAATTGGGGATTAGCAATATTTTGTTTCGTATGATTGTATATTCTTAATAGTTTTTAAAGCTTATAAAAATTACTTGGAAAAACCTATTCATATATAATATATAGTTTGTAAATCACACAAAATTATATGATGAACTCGATTAAAAAGGAGATGAGGATTATCTTGAGACACCAAATTTGCTTTGTCAAACTCTTTTAAATAGAGTCCGTACTATTTAAGATAATGTCGAATCCATATTTTTATCAAACACTCGTGTAATGCATAATCCTTGATTATATTAATTAATTAATTATTTAATTAGTGAATTGTAACCAGACACATCAAGTCCTTTGTATACATTTATTCTTATGTCATTTCAATTTTAATTAATTAATATAAGCACCATGTGCTTTACAGACTGTTTTTTTATCGAACTTCTAAAAGTTAGATATATACACTAATTTTTGTAAATAAATAAATAAAAATGCTACTCTATACTACTCTACCAGAAATAAGATATTATATCAAGTTTTAAAGTTATAACAAGACGATTATCTTATTTTATCATGTAAAAGTCCCTTTATTTATTTATTTATTTATTTTGTGCCCTAGATGTGCTTTTTTTTTTTGTGGAGTTTCACGTTTTTTACTTCTTTGACGAATCAATGTCATGACCTTAGAGTTGGGGTGAATGATATTTATCATCCGAGCAACACCTAGTGTAGACTGTAGAGGTGTTGACGATTCCCATAGTTCTGTAAAAATAAATTAATTAAAATGTGTTAGATTAATTAAATGATATATGTTTTATTGATAATTAAATTTATTAAATTAACGTAAATATTAGGGTCTATAAATATTTCTTGACGCACCTAATATTTCGCTTATAATCCATTTGTATACCCTTGCTTTCACAATTTTATTTTATTACATTTAAATTTGCATCATTAGGGATCTATTTTTGAGAGTGACCCTCTCAACGATTTTTTTTTATTCGTAGAGGGTCAAACTTGAGATTTTTTTTATCCATAAAGGATCGAACTTGAGATTTTTCTATCCATAGAGGGTTGTACTAATTGACACCAAAAAAATAATTAACAAAAATGTTAGAACAGAAGACAATTTCATTTGTTGATTTTTTCTTTTTGATTCTCCATCCACTGTTTAGAGATCCGCATTGAAACTTTACCTAAATTTGAATTGCGTATTGCAGGGTTCATTCGGAGGTGGTGCTCCCAACAAAATTTTCTTCATATCTATGGTTTAAACTCGAGATCTTTGATTAAATGTGAAACAATTCCACCACTGCACCACAATCCATATTGATTCCATTGGTTGAATTAAGGTCTAAATTAATTTTTTTGTGGCTTAGATGTTTTTCTTCCATTTGTACGCAGCTCAATCATATGCGCCAATATAGACATTCCAATTGAAGAATCCAAAAGTTTTGAAAAAAAACAGGATCAAAAGACGGAAATTAAAATTTAAAACTTATAAATTCATTTAAATATTTATATATATTTAATATATTTTAAAATAAAAATAAAAATTATTGAACTCATTGGAATGCGTAAAAAATGATTGTTTTGAGTGGATGGAGAGTTGGCAAGACAAGAATTTTCATTGGCTCAAAGCAAGCAAGGAAAAATTAATTGTAAAATTTGAACTTTAGTAGTTTGACAACTAAAATAGAAATGAAATTATACATCCTAATCTTCAACATTTTTTAATAAATAAATTAACTTCTAATAGTACGTAGTTTTTTTTTCTCTACTCTCATATTCAGGATCCAATTAAATTCAATTCGCAATAAAGCAATAAAGAGATACTTTTCATTCCATTATAATCTTTGTTATGATTTAATCATTTGTTATTTTATCTGTTTAAAAAAGAATGAGCTAGTATTATTTTTAATTTTTTTTTAAAAAATGACCTTTCCTTTTTTGGTAACACTTTAATTTTTACTTTTCACGTGACATGTTTAATGTCATAAAATTAAATAACATTTTGGTACATTTGACATAATTTTAATTTAGAACCACACTATTAAAAAGTCTTATTTCTTTTCTTAAACTTCGTTCCAAGTCAAACTAAGTCATTTTTTTTAAACGGAGAAAGTATATATTAGAAGTATATAAATTAGTTAGGTATTATTTCTACAAAGTTTAGTTATTCATATGTATTAGTTGTTCTACTTTCTATCATTAATTTTATATATATATATATATTAGTTATAGTTATACCTATTTCTAAATTGCAAATCAAATACCATATTAAATTTATATAAATAATTTAACTCATAACGAACTACCAAATATATTATTATCTATGCATAATTTAATACTTGGATAACTCACCTTTAACACCTTATTTGGATGGTTGTTACTAATTGTATTGTATTGTATTATTAGTTTAAATATAAGATTTATTTAATTGTTACTTAAATTTTATATATAGTATCATTTAAATCCATAATTAGGCAACCATGAAAATTAAAGACCCATTTTATATAACGATCCATTTGGTATGATCTCATTGTTATCTTAATATTTTCTTCTCATTTTATCTTTATTTATTATTTAATTATTTTATTTTATTTTTTACTTTATCTTTTAAAGTAGCTTTATTTTGTACCCTACTTTATTTTAGGTCTACATTCAAATAATGAATATGTGACATTATATAGTGATGGAGAATAATAAAATCTATTAGTACAATACTATATTCATTAAAATAATAGATATAATAGAATGTAATAGGATGCATTACGAAATAATACGTAAAAAAGAGAGGAGAAAGAGGACAAAAAGAATCTTGTAATTATGCATTGTTACTGTAAAATGGAATGCTTTCGTTCTCCCTATATATAAATTCTCCATTTGCAGTTTGTTTTTTGAAGTTTGTAAATTGGGTAACTGAGCCATCACTTTCTCTTTCTTTATAGACAACAGCTACACTAGTAGAGTTTTCAACTGAGAAAGAAAGAGAATTGTTTTTCATTTATTCCTCAGCGATTCAATACTACAGCCTGTATGTTACCTGTCCCTCTGCTACGCTACTAATGTTTGCTTTCTTGGTTTTGCTGTTAATTTTGATTCTTGTTAGCCAAATTTGTCGTTTTTGTGTATTAGCTCAGTTTGATGAAAAAATATAGTAATAGTGATTTTCTAGAAAGGAATTCTGGGTTGTTTTTGAGTTTTCTGAAATGGGTTTTGCTTGAATAGTACAATTTGATGAAATTTGGGTGGAAATGGGTTTGTTTTATTGTTTATCTGAAATGGGTTTTGCTTAAAATAGCTAAATTTTATCATGAATACTGAGTTGATTTTGAGTTTTCTGAAATGGGTTTTGTTTAAACTGTAAAATTTGATGAAATTTGAGCTTAATTTATACTTTTTATAATTCTTATGGGAAATGGTGTTCGTTTGTGTGGACTATGGGTTTGACTTCTGAGTTATCCAGTCTGTCGGAAATAGTCTCTCTACCTGCGTAAATTTCACTGGATATGTTGTTGTTATTGTCGCTTTTGAGTTATCTAAAATGTTTTTTTTTCACAGTTTACAGCTGAAAGCTGATTCTTGAAATTCGCGTAGAAGGAGGCAAACAGCTATTTATATTCTCTGCAAACGCCGCTCGTGGCCATTAAAGATTAGACGGCTATAATTGTGAGATTTGGTGTTTTGTGATTGGTGAAAAGAAAATTATATAAAGCATTTTCACCTTTCCTTGATCCGCCATTTTCTCATTTGTGTGCATTGGTTTTAACCATTAGAGCAAACTGTACTTGGGTTCTATACAGAGAACTTTGAAGGAGAAAAGACTTGTTTTTGAGTTTGTTACTTATATTATATGGTTTAGTAGTTGACCATTTTGAAAGGTGACATAATATCCACAATCATCGGCAGGACGGTGAAACTTGTTGGGATTATTCTGTTGGCTTTGGAGGAACTTAAGGTACAAAAAACAAATCCTTTGTTTGAATCTTTTATTCAATTGTTTAGTGAGTTTGCTGTATGATCAAGGAAACTTCTTGTTTGACAAAACTAGTATAGAGTTGGTGACTGATACTTTGTACGAAGACATGATGTGTTAGTTTTTTAATACTGTTTATTAGTGGAATTTGCATAGTTAGGATTGATTGTGGTTTTTTAAATTGTTTATAGGGAGTGAAACTCGGTCCTAAAACTCCGGAATTGGCGTGTGGTATTTAAAGAGTTATGGGTGGTTGTTTATTTATGTGGTGAGAGGGTAACTGAGGATTTTGATGTGTAGTTGTGATGATGAAAACAATGCAAGTAGAAGAAGTTTTCTTTGATTCTGCTGATTCTTTGGTGTTGGAGGAAGAGGAACTAGGTTTTGTGAAAAAGAATTTGGGGTATGATGTATGGTTGATGGAGCCAGAAAGTGTGACGAGTCGACGAGAGAAGTTTTTGAATGAAATGGGATTTGTTGGACTTGACTGCCTACCTAGTGCAGCCAGTGATGAATCTGATTCAATGGGGTTGAACAGGATTGCGGAGAGTAGTGAAGCAGTTTGTAGTTCTGCTTCGGAGGAAGAGTTTATGTGTAATGAAAGGGAATCTAGTGGTAATGCGAATTCATTGACTGATGAATTAGATCAGACTTGGTTTGATGATGATTGCACTTCTTCGCGTTCTACGGATGGAGAACATACTTGTTTTGATGCTACTTCCGACCACACACACGGTAAGGATAGAAACTTGAAAAAGCAGAAAATGAAGAAGTGGTGGAAACAATTTAGCCTAAAGATGAGTAAAAGTCAATCTACTGATGCATTTAAGACTTCTAATGAGATATTCACTGAAAAGCAGAAGGTAACTCCAATGAAAGTGCAACTGAACAAGAAGAAAATTAATGAGTTTAGTGCGATTTATTGTGGACAAGAAATCAGTGCTCACAGTGGTCTTATTTGGGCAATGAAGTTTAGCCCTGATGGGAAATATTTGGCTAGTGCTGGTGAAGATGGGGTTGTTCGGATTTGGCTAGTCACAGTTGATTCATCATGTGAATCACCTAACTTCAGTTTAAGCAGTCACTGCGTCAAAGGCAAGCATGGACATAAAAAGAACAAGTCTTGTTATACCCCTGTTATTGTTCCTAAGAAGGCATTCAAAATCGATGAGTCACCGCTGCATGAATTTTATGGCCATACTGCTGGCATATTGGACCTTGCCTGGTCCTCATCTAACGTGAGTCAACTTTTTAACTGCCTTTTGCATTACTTATTTACTTGCCACGTATCCAATTCAAATCGTGCTTATGACTAACTTGCTTTGGAACTGAATGGGATCCTTTAATGCAGTGTGTTCTATCTTCATCCAAAGATAAAACCGTTCGTCTATGGAAAGTTGGTTTGGATGGATGTCAAGGAGTTTTTCATCACAAAAATTATGGTACATATCTGAAGCTTTTATTTTATTTAACTGATTTTTAGATGTTTTGCTATTTCACTATTTTATTGATAGTTTCATTTGAATTTGATCAGTGACATGCATCCAGTTCAATCCTGTTGATGAGAACATCTTCATCAGTGGCTCCATAGATGGAAAAGTTCGTATTTGGGGAGTTCCAGGAAAGCGAGTTCTGGAATGGGCCGATGCTCATGACATTGTGACTGCCATAGCTTATCAGCCAAATGGCCAAGTATGTGTTTATATGTTTGATTTCAAAATGACTAATGATGCTACTATCTCGACTCAAGAACCTGACTGATGTATATCTTTGAACTTCCATGAAACAGGGTTTTATAGTTGGTTGTATCTCTGGTACTTGCTGCTTCTATGAATTGAACGGTGAGTAGTTCTTCGCACTTACAAAAAATCAGTTCTTTCGTTATGGTACTTGATCGTGAGAAAGTTGGTTAATCTTTGTTTTTCTTATCATGCAGAAAGCGTACTTTCCTTGAACACACAAGTACATCTTCATAGTAGGAAGAAATCCTCTGGCAGCAGAATCACTGGCATTCAGGTTTTACTCTCGAAACTCTTGACTTAACATATGCTTGCACATTACTTTAAGCAGTCTTTTTGACACAAGGCTATTTCTTGCAGTTTTTCGAAAATGACTCCCGAAGAGTTATGATAACATCAGAGGATTCCAAAATCCATATTCTTGATGGGGTCGAGATCGTGCATAAATATAAAGGTATAGGATTGTTTTGAATCATAAATCCTTCAAAAAAGGCCTGTGAATGATCATACATATCAATTTAGATTGAGTCTCACTCCGAATGCTAATTTGCTCTTTTCTTGGATATAACAGGTCTATCGAAATCAGGATGCCATACATCTGCTACAATTAGCTCAACTGGAAAACACATAGTATCAGTCGGGGAGGACTCACGTGTCTATCTCTGGGACAATGCTGATGATATAAACATCCAAGCATCCAAACAAACAAAATCTATACGATCCTGTGAGCATTTCCTCTCGGAAGGCATTTCTGTTGCAATACCGTGGTCAGGGCAGGCAACAACAGTAGTGGATTCAGAAAATTTTGGCAGTTCCAACTTTGATCCACTAAGGGGTGAACATCAAAAGGCTTCTTCTAAGACTTTGGATTCAAGACGATTTTCTGTTGGAAATTGGTTTTCTATGGATGTGTCATTTAGGGGCTCCGTGACATGGCCAGAAGAAATGCTTCTTCCACACGAAAATGATGAACACCTTTGTAGTTCTAATGATGATGATCTTCATCAACAATATCAACATAACAAGAACCTTAACTACAGAGCGTTGTCCCCGGCATGGGGCCTTGTCATTGTGACAGCTGGTTGGGATGGAAAGATTCGGACATTCCATAACTATGGATTGCCTGTCCGAGTTTAAGAGTGATTTTGTTGTCACGAATTCAAGCATTTTTCCACAACTCGGACATGTTTGAATGGATGGAATAGCACCCTCTTCTTCTAAAAATGTTGCTACATCTGTGTCGGATCTTTGAGAAATGTAAAGTATTTGGAGGATCTGACACGGGTGTGGCTGCACTTTCGGATGACTAAGGAGAGCTCATCTGCAGATAAGAAACTGCGATAGAATTGAATTCTTTGAATCTTTACAAGACTAATTTTTGTTTCCTTGTGAAGTTGTATATGTTCTTTAAGCTAGTTAATGGTACTCAGATTAATTTTTTGACTGATCATATTGTAATTTGTGAATATTCAAGAGTGTAAAGATAGAATATTTTTTTAATGAAAATGATTTCAAAAAGGACTTCATATTCTGTTATTTACTTTGTTAAATTCTTCTCAAACTCAATAAACTTTCATCTTTGACTTGGTAGAACCTATAACAACATCAAATCCAGTGAAATCACACAAAGTGGAGTTTGGTAAATGTAGAGTGTACGTTGACCTTACAACTACCTCATTGAGATAGAGAGACTGTTTTTGAAAGACTCTCGGTTCAAGCAAATCAAAACAATAATTAAACGAAAAATATGACACTAAATTGGAAAATTTTATGGAGAAACTACCTAATTACACAAACATTTCTATCATATTTATTAATTCTCTCTATAGTTTAAAATAATTACATTTTATCTCACTATTTAGTAATTTCATATCACATTTCAAGTCAGATACATGCGAATCACAATATTATGATATGAAAATATATACGTTTAAGTTATGACCCGCAAGAACCTTTTTTTGGCTAATTACGTATTTTTTTCATTTATTAACTCAACACATTCTACCTGTTCAAATTCAATCTAACCTGCTCACATTATATTATAATTTGTATCAGCTTTGGCCTTTTAACTATCCACGAAAATTGCCACAATTTTGAACTTTATTTATGGATAATCAGTTGTACGTGGGCTTAATTTTGGGCCATAATTTCCTTCACTATGCTTTTCCTTCTCAATTCAGAACACTCTTCTCCCTCTACACCACAATTATAGAAGAAATTTCACCAAAAATCAGTTTCAACCGAGATAAAAATACTAGGTGATTTTTTTCAGTTGTCTTAATCTTGATGGATAGAGTTACTTGATACCTGTTGCTGGTAGGAGGTGGCCGATATTCCATAAAATTATTTGAGGTGCACAAAAACTAATCCGAACACTAGTCATAAAAAAAATAGATTATGAAATAAAAGAGGTTGAAGTTGAGTGGTAAGTACTCCTTCATCCTTAATCTAGTGATCTCGAGTTCGAGTCCCCTTGGGTACGGAGTTGCCTTTGTTAGGTAGCGCTTTAATGGGGGGACTTCCCGACACGAACACAAATTTAGTCAAGTTCCAACGTGGACACCAAACACCGAAACTATATATATATATATAAAAATTAAAAGGGATTATTTTTATCACTTTCTTAATTGAAGATGCAGAGTGTTGAAAATGCTAAAAGGGGAAAGAGAAGAAAAAGTCTAAGTAGGATGAAAGTCAACGGATGTAAAGTCAAAGATGTGTTGCTTAAACAAAACGTGTTTTTCCATGTGTTTAACATACTTTGACTATTCCATGGAATCATAATTTTTCATAAATACCACTATTTATATTCCTAATAATAAATTATGACGATGTAATTAAGTTTTCAAAACATATCATACATACATATACTAATGGTTATACTTGGCTCGGAGAAAAGAGTTTAAAAAGTTGAGTTTTATAATATAATGTTCAAGTGTTCAGTTGGCAAAGTCATAGATAGAAGGAGAAAGATTTATAATTAATAAGTTTAAAGAAATTATAATAAGGAACACCATAAGAGTTTGAAATATTTTCATGGCTTCATGTCAAGTAGTTTTAAGACGTTTTGAGTGCTGTATTCGAATTCTCTGATATCAGAATCAACTTTTGTGGGTATGTGAAGCTTGAAACTATTTGTGAGCTGTTATACTAATTTATTATGTCTTTGAAATGATGAGTTAAATTAGAATCTATGCATGATTTACCCCATATTTTTATTCAAATACATGATTTGTTTTGTCATAAATAATTACTTCCTCTATCCCTAATTACTTGTCCATTTTTCCTTTTATAGTTGTTCCTAATTATTTGTCCATTTTTCCTTTTATAGTTATCCCTAATTACTTGTCTATTTTGACAAATCAAGAAAGGATAATTTTTTTTACCTATTATACCCTCAATTAGATGATTAATTACTTAGAAAATGTAGAACTTTTCATCCATTTCATAATTAATAGGGGTAAAATGGTAAACTCACTATATCATTAATTATTTTCTTAATTGGTGTGTCAATTCAAAAGTGGACAAGTAATTCGAGATGGAAGGAGTAATAATTAAGAGTTCGAACTATAAAGTGTTTGACATTCTTCTCATTAAATAAATGACTTAATTATGATGTTCAAGTGCTTTATACACACCTTGTTTAGGAACATAAAACCCCATAGCATGTTTGACTTTATTGATAATATTGTCATCACTTGTTTTTCATTGAAAATTGTTTGCTTGTGTGAGCTCGTTTACACTATTATTTTAAGTTGTCCGAAATTAATCGAAAATAATATTTCAATTCTACAAAGATAAGATCAAAAGAGTTTCATACATTTTATCCTTCTCAGACCATCCCAATTATAGTATTAGGCTGATTTGTTGTTGTTCTTTGTTATCATTGAAAAATGAAATGAGCCCTTGGCGCTATTTAAAATAGAGAAAATTGAATTTGGCTAAAATGCCAAGACTATGACACGTAACGTAACTTTATTCAATCATTCATAATGTCATAGAAACTCTATGAATAAACTTTTGTAATCTTTTGGGTTATGTTACCTAGTATGTCCTTATAAATGACTTTTATTGTTATTATTATGTTTTGATGATGGCCATGTTGAATTGTAAAGGTTCTTTTTTGTTGCTGATCTTTTTTTAAAGTGAGTTTTAAACCATTTCGGTCATATTCATATCTTTTATGTTAATTGATTTGTGTATGATACATTTGATATGGGCTTTAAGCTAGTATATTATATTAATTCGCTCCTTAGAAATTGATGAAACTGAAATTGATCGCCATGCCACCTATTAGAATTAGGGTGTGACACTCCTCTGAGCCATCTCAAGTGTAACATCCGACAATTTAAAAATGAATATGAAGAAGCTTGAAATTTGGAAATAGTCATTTTTGGAAAAATTTAAAATCTGGAAAATTTGGCTAAGTGTGGAAATCAGTGAGTTTTTGGCCAACTTTGAGCAGTCATAACTCCTAGATCAGGATGATTTAGGAGTAGTTCCAGTTATGGTTTCGAAGCTTGTGGAACGATCTTTCCAACGCCACTGAGTTTGCTCGATTCCGAGTTCGTATGAGCGAGTTATGATCTTTGAAAGTTGGGCAGTTGGCAGGGATTCCGTTCCGGAAATTTAAGGGCATTTTGGTCTTTTCACAAATAATTTCTTTTGAGCTTATATTGTTGTATTAGGCTGATATTTGGATCATTTTGTCCCATTTTGAAAGAGAAAGAGTTAGGGTTCAAGAGAAGAAGAAGAGAAGAAGGAGAAGAAGAAGAGAAGAAAGAGGAGATCAACAAGATTTGTCAAGATCATTGTGGATTTTCGTCGGGGGTGATCCCTATCAAGGTATGTGAGTCTTTAGTGTGGGTTTATCCTTTCCCCCCACATACCAAGCTCGTTTTTATGATTTGAGAAGAGATTGGATTTGTTGTTGAAGTTGTTAGTTGTTGTTGATGTTGTTAGTTGTGTTGTTGAAGTTATTGTTGGTTGTGGGACAGGATTGGGCTGTGTATTTGAGTTGTGACCTATTGTATATTGAGGGATTTTATGATCCTTAGTGTTGGTTGGTTCATACCCCCACACACCAACTCGTTTTTAATTCCAAGAGAAGATTTATTGGTTGTTGAAGTTGTAGTGGTGTTGTGTTGAAGTTCTTGCTGATTTAGTACAGATTTCTGGCTGTGATTTTTGAGTTGAATCTATTGTATAATAAGGGTCTTTATGATTCTAAGTGTTGCTGCTGAAACCTTGAGGTTGAGAGGGTTTAGAATTGGAAAGAAACAAGGGGAAAAAGTCGGATTTTTGGGGAAAAAGGGGCTGGGCTGTTGCACCTCTCCTAGTGCCAAGGACACCAATCCTTCCCTTTCATTCACCATTTCTTTTTTTATACATGTTCCTAGGTATTATACCTATGTTTCCTAGTTGTTTCCAACACTCCAAGGTACTTCCAAAAGTCAAGTAAAACTACAAGTCAAGTGAAGTTAGTTTCCAATTCAAGTGAAGTTAGTTTCCAAGTCAAGTGAAGTCAAGCTTAGAAGTAAGTAAGTCAAAGCAAGTCTTTAAGGTTTTCCAAGAGTCTTCATTGAGCGTTTTAACTTCATTCTAAGGCTCAAGTTCCAAGTTAAGTATTGAGTTTCAAGTCAAGTCAAAAGTTAAGAGTTTCATGTTAAGTTAAGAGTTTCACATCAAGCCAAGAGTTCAAGTAAAGTAAAGAGTTTAAAGTTGAGTTCTTTTCTCAAAGTTATTAGGGAACTATGTATTCCCAAAGAAGTTTTAAAGAAATGTTTTTACATTTAAACAAGGTTGGAAACTGAGATTTCCAAAAAGCCTTCGGGCTAGTTTTTGAGTAATTATCTCATATCAGCAGGAAGAAATATGTTTTAAAAACATAAGAGCCAGTACATTTTTGGGAGTAGTATCGAGCACCGAATTGGGGGAGCGTTCAAAGAACCCACAGCCCCCATAGAACCATGTTAGCCACCATGGGTAGAAAAGGATCATATTTTTTAGATGAATCCTTTTCAGATTAGACTAGTGGATCCATTAGGCAGTTCAGGTCTTATACCTTTGGCCGGGTATAAGATGCTCTGGCAGCGTGAGGTCGATCGCTGTATCATCACTATAGCTCTTATGTGATGGTTGTCGGTTAGAGAAACTCCCACAACAGTTATTGTATTTTTCATACACAGAGATTATTGTATTTTTTATATACATCAGTTCATTGTATTTTTATACACATTTCAGGCTTATTGTATCCTTGTATACACACAGAGTTCATAGCATGTTTTAAGCAATCTTTCTTTATATCGCACTTGTTTTAAATTGCCTTATATTGAAAGAAGTCAATCAGGTTGAGTTAAGTTGAGCCAGGTAAGCTATTCAGTTTCTTCCAGTTTTCCTTCTAGCCTTTGTTGCTTAGTTTTCCAGCTTGCATACTCGTACATTCCATGTACTGATGCCAGTTGGCCTGCATCGTTTGATGATGCAGATTCAGGTACCCCGGATCAGCATTCTGCACGTCGTTAATCCAGCTGAGCACTCCAGAGTCAGTGGTGAGCTTCCTTGCATTCCGGAGGACTCAATTATTTTGTGTTCTTAGTTTTTGTTTTATTAGGATGTTGCGGGGTCTGTCCCAACATCCATCTCAGTATTTTAGAGGCTTCATAGACAGACAGTCAGTCAGTTAGTTTTGAGTCTCTCATCTATATATATATGTAAATATTCTATTTTGAGATTCGAGTTGCCTTTATGGCCATATTTTATAAGTTAAGTTATTTTGTAATATTGCATTGCATTGAGTTATTCTGTTGAGGTTTCCGCTGAGTTAAGAAAGCCAGGCCAAGGGTTCGCTTGGGGCTAGAAATGGTCTCCGGGTGCCGGTCCCGCCCAGGGTGTAGGCTCGGGGCGTGACATCAAGACTTTTGGACCATCACAATTGTACTAGGGAGGTCATCGACTCTAATAACATATGTCACAACTAAGTCCAACAAAACAAGTATTATTGATTCGACTCTTCTAGGTCACCTCTCAAGGCTTTTCTTTTGTCAGTTAGGCTTTAACTCAAAAGGCATCTTAACGGTTGAACCCTAAATTCGCCCTTAAATGACTCATAACCTTTTCTTTTCATTTTGACGTGAGATTTAATTTGAAATAAATTTTGCAGCAAAATTCTTTTCGAGTTCAATCCCCAACGATTCATGTACCGTTACATAAATGATAAATGCAATAATAGGTCACGGATTAACATTAAAAAATCTCAAAATTATCTTTCTATAAAAACTAATATTAACTATGCCTCCGTATCAAATAAGCCATATCAATTTTATATATATATATTAACCATATCATTCAAGTATTCTCATCTCAATCAATGTTATACAAAATAAAAATAGAATATGAAAAAGATAGTGTAACTAAAATAATAACAATAAAGTAAAAATAAAAACAAAAACTCAATAGAATTTGCTAAACCAACTAAGCTCCCAATTAAAAAGCTTCAAATGTGAACATAAAAGGAAATTTTCAACTATGATACAATTGTCATTGAATCCCACTACAATTGTGGAAAAATATACATTATTGTACAAACAACAATGTTTTATGAGCAAATAAAATAAAAAGTTAAACCTCATCATATTCTAAACTTACATTAATTTTACTTGAACCTCAAAAAAAAAAAATCTTAAAAAAAAAGTAAAATTAAAAATTAAAATAAAAAAAAGTCCACCTAAAAGTCAAAGAATGGATGGAATAGATCAGAAGCTGACGGAGACGGCGAAATCAACGGCGCTGAAAACAACGTTGACGGACTTGGACTTAACATATTCATAAACGGATCCGTCGGAAACGGCGAAAATAATCCCGGCGGTGATACTGGCGGTAAAGTAGCCGGCGCCGGCGACAAAATCCCCGGGAAATGACACATTTCTACGCTTGAATTTCCGAGTATATCCAAAATATCCATCGAATCAAAAGTTTCCATACCAACAGCAGCAGCCGGAGGGATTGCAGTAGACGGACTACTAGCTTTTTCCATAGAAGCCAATTTCGCCGCCGGCGATAGATTCCCATCACCGGAACCCGATCCAGATGTCGATGTTTCCATCGAGGAAGTAGTAGATCCAGTAAGTCTCTGTACAACACTCATAAAGTCACTAACCGTCGTGTGATACACTTTCGGCGAAACGGCGTAGATTATCACCGTTTGGGGGTTTTGGGTCGTCGCCGCCGGGGCTACCGCGGCGGTATGTGGCGGAGGATGCGGCGGAGGAGCAACCGGAGGTTTCTTGATCTTGTATGAATCTTTGTTGACTCTAAGAGGAGCTGGACGAGGACCTTGTAGTTCTCTCCGGGTCGGAGATGGTCTTCCGTCGGAAACGCCGGCGAAAAAGTCCGGTGGTGGAAAATCCATTTGGAAAATGGGAAAAATTGTTATTTGTGGATATTTGTATAAATGATATATGAGTGGTAATAGGAAATAGCCTATGAAAGGGGAAAAAAATGTGATATACTATGGAACATGAATGGAAATAGCTAAGCAAAAAGGTTTGAATATTCTATTTTCCTAAAAATATATTAAAAAAAACTACTACTAAATATCATTTTATAAAATTAAGAAAAAAAATTAGTGGTCACCAACTTGGCATAAGTTGATCACTATTCTTAATTTGACATGTGATAATTACTGTATGCATGTTTGGAATTAACTAGCAACTGCTTCAAAAATATCTAAAAATAGTGAAACTAATTTTATAATAAATGGAGTTGTAGTATATATAATTATAATAGGGAAAATTACACGGTTAAACAAATTTATATTACTTAATTAGTTATTATAGCTATAGTTTTGCTATAATTATCGCTCGCGACTAACATTAACCATTAATTATGTGGGCTGACTTCGAGTTTGTATAATTAGCTACGTTTGTATAATTCACCACATTTGTATAATTCACAACTACCAATTCTTCGTTTGATTTGTATTTGTATATGATGGTTTATATTTGTATTTGACGATGATTTCCTTTGATTTTTTCAGTTTTATCACCATATAAATTCAATCTTTTTGTGTATAACTTTTTAAAGTTTGTATAAACGTGTAGTTTTCGAATTTTGTATAATATGATTTATATAAAGTAATTTGCATAATATAATTTGTAGAACTGTTTAAAGTTTATATATTTATTTTTGTATCAATTCGTTATTTTGAGTTTTATCATATTTGTATAATTTCAGACTTTATATTACTTAATTATACAAAAAAACACGTGAATTATACAAACGAGATGCGAATTATACAAATTATTGAGCTCTCTCGCTCGCCTCTCTCCTCCCACTCTCAATCTCGCTCGCTAGATATACAAATACATAAGTATACCAGTTACATATATATAATTATCTAACCGATATACATATACAATTCACCTCTCTCCCACTGTCTACCCTCTCTCGCTCGCCTCTCTCCCACTGTCTACCCTCTCTCGCTCGCCTCTCTCCCCCCTCTCCCAATCTCGCTTACCTCTCTTCTCCCTATAACATATAACTATGAATCGTAATTAGCAAACTATAGTTATGGAGCGTAATTAAGCTATTTTTGAGTAGTTATATCTGAAAGTTCCCCATTATAATAATATATATAGTGTAGTTATATAAGTGAATTTAGAAAGGATATGATGTATGGAGATCTTATACTTATTTTGTTGGGTGGAGAGATTATTTATGAGACTGAAGAACAAATGTAACCAAAGTATGATAGAAAAACAAAAGTCAGCAACAAAATAGTAAGATAATCAGAACAAATGAAACAATAGGTAGTAGTGAAATTAGGAAAATACTACATGTATGCTAACTAATATTTCAACGCTCGGCTACCTATTATTCTTCTACGCTTATTCTTAACCTCATCAAATCTTCTTATCTAGGGTCATGTCCTCACTAAGTTGAAGATGTATTATGTTTTGTAATATCATGTCCATGTAGTTTTTCTCCGGTCTACCTCTACTTCTTTTAAAATCTACTACAGTCAACCTTTCAAATCTTCTCACCGTTGCATCTAAGATCTTTTTCATCACATGTCTTAACCATGGTCTTAGCCTCATTTTTCTCACATTATCTACTGTGGAGGTCACTGTAACCTTGTACCATATAACCTCGTTCATTATCTTATCTCTCATAGTATACTCATATATTTGTTTGATCACCTCTGCTACCTTCATCTTCTAAAGGTGTTCGTCTTGACATACCCTTATTTTGTTTCATCCACCCCAGTCTAATATGATGTGCGACATCATCATCCACCCCAGTCTAATATGATGCAGATCTTAAATTGAAACGCTTACATTCTAAGATTTGTCTCCTAACTTTTAGTATATCGTTAATTCTACTGCATGTCTCATCGATCAATACTATATCATCTGTGAATAACATACATCATACACCTCTCCTTGAATATGCATCGTCAATTCTTCTATCACTAAGGTAAATAAAAATTGGCTAAGGATTAATCTCTGATGTCACCTCATCATGACTAGAAGTTTTTTTGAATCATTCCCCACTTTTCTTATTCGGATTTTAACTCTATCGTACATTTCCTTAATCGCTCAAGCCACATCTTCAACTCTAGATTCCAAACATTTCAATAGAATCCTCCTATGAATGTTATCATATGCCTTTTTTGAGGTCAATTAACACTATTTACAAGTCTCTCTTTTTATTTTATACTGCTCCAACAATCTCCTTGTTTTTAATTTCTAAATTCCAATCTACATGTCTAAAATATCAAATATATTTTGACAAGTCAAACTTGAGAAACAATTATTTGAATTTTGGTCTTGGCAACAAACTTCAGAGGCAATTAACACGACTTTGGCAACTTAGACACGTATGTAAAAAATTATTTTCAAGATGACTAAATTACAAAAAATTATAAATTAAATATAGTTTAAATGATAGTCCCAAAATTAATTGTTTGTTCACTTCGTCCATAAAAAGGTTCACCAATTGATATAACAAAAAAAAAAAAGTATAAATTATAGGAACCACATATTATAAGTACTAAATAACATCCTATCCCTTCTAGTTTTCTATTTATCAAAAATCCCTTAAAAATGATGTTTGCGGGATACATAGCGTTGTGCAGGGATACATTAGGTTTGATACATTCCACATAGCGGGATACATAGCGTTGTGCACGGGATACATGCGGGATACATAGGTAAATAAGGGATTTTTGAAATTTTTGAAATAAGTAGGATAAATGGATATTAAGATAAGTAAAGGAGTGTAGTTAAGTAATTTGTCCAAAAAAAAATGAAGACTCATTTGACCATAGCAATTGTACATTTAATACGTAATTGTCTTACTTTTGTAAATGATGCATAAGTATTTTAATTTGAAAGTAAAATTGTATGATAATGTCTCATAATCATAATTTTACAATATAGTATAATTAGTTTCCTTTGTTTTGACGATTTAGATAAAGTTATTTCAGATTGTGTAATTATTATAAACGAAAAAATAAATGTAAAGAAAAAGATAACCAATTAGTTGAAGAAGGTGTATTAAATAACCGGTTAATTAATATTTTGTTTAATGTAGTACAATGTACTATAATTAGTCTAAAACTTCTAATCATATCTATTAATTATCATCATGTATTTAATTTTGAGCTTTTCATATCTAAATATAATACTTGGAGGCAGTGACATAGCTAGGTACACTAAGGAGGAATCATTCGAATTATTTTTGTTGAAATATTATATATATTATGTATATAAATAGGGGAAATTATCCGGATAATCAATATATACAAGTTAATTAGCTAATATAGCTATAATTTGAATAAATTATCACTAACAACTTCTTTTTAGCTATAATTATGTGCGTCTCTCTCCTCTCTTCCTCTCTCTGGCCTCTCTCTTTTCTTATACATACAAATACAAATTATACATATACATATATAATTATATGACAGATATACAAATACAATTCACCTCTCTCCACTCTCTGCATGCCCTCTCTTGTCGCCTCTCTCCTCCCTCTCCAATTCTCGCTTGCCCGATATACAAATATACATGTATACCAATTACTATATACAATTATCTGATAGATATACATATACAATTCGACATATATATAAATACAATTCACGTCTCTCCACTCTCTGCCCTCTCTCACTCGCCTCTCTCCTCCCTCTCCCAATCTGGCTTGCCTATCTCCCCCTCTAACATGTAGCCACGAATCGTAATTAACAAATTATAGTTATAAAACCTAATTAAATTATTTTTAGTGGCTATTTGCAAAATTTCCTCTATAATATATGTTGAAATTTTAATTAATTTTTGATATCTTTACTACTCAGGAGTTTGATAGAAAAACAATAAAACATTGTTTATCTCGTTGGAGAATTGAGACATATATAAGGTGTCTAAAGAAAAGGTGCTCTCAACTTGCTTGGACAAAGACAAAACAATATTGCTCTCCTTAAACGTGTGTACATAGCTTAATCTACTATATGTTGTATTCGATGTGGAGAAAAATATATTTTTTAAAATAGAGTATATATTTGAAATATGTCGATAATAAAATATTATGTTATGTTAATTCAGTGAATCAATACATAAAGGGAACACATACAAAGTTTTTGTGCTATCATCAATATTTCATCAATATAACGTTAATGTATTTGACATGACCCTACCTTATTTTATATATATATATATATCAATAAATTATACATTCAATTAAGATCAGAAACGCTATGTGGTGATATATTTGTCTTTTTAATTAGTTAATGTTAAACAATTCACATTTCAACTATGGTATTAATTTGTATTGAATTTATTTAGTAACAAACAACTCTCTCTAAATAATTTGTAAGATAATTTATTTAAATAAATGTACTATTAAAAATATAAAACATAAAATCAAGAAAATAAACAAAATAATTAAAATGATTTGAGGGATATTTTTGTCTTAACATAGACTTATCCCATGGTATTATATCCTATGTATTACTAATACCTCCAAATGGAAGGTATTAGTAATACATCCTATAATACCATGTAGGAGGTATAATTAATCCATGAATTAGTTATACATATGCCCAAATTCCTACCAAACATAGTACAAAATAATACCATACATTAGGGGTGTACAAAATCGAACCGAAAATCGAACCAAACCGTAAACCGAGTCAAACCGAAAAAAACCCGACTAGTGGTTTGGTATTGAAAAAAAAAAACCGACTATATTTGGGTTGGTTTGGCTTTAACTAAAAAAAATCAACATGAGACCAAACCAACCCGACATTATATATATAATTTTAAAATTTAATTTTATGCTTAAAAATATTTACTTTGATATAATTTTTAAATATTTCTTATACTTTTCATAGTTTTTATCTTTTTAATATATTATTTCAAGTTTGAAACTTAGATTTCTGAATGGTCCAACAAAGATTATA